GACAAGATCAAGTCGAAACTAACCAACCCAATCAAAGACTGGCGACGCAGAAGCTCTGTTGATGTTGGCGAACATGAGGGCTATGATAACACACCGCTCCCGAGATTGACATGGAAGGGGTTCTGGATGGGCATGTTGGTATCGATGGGTGGATTTGTGTTTGGGTAAGTTGCTTCCACTACTACCACCTTCCTCCTACTCACGCTGCTAGTTATGATACCGGTCAAATCTCTGGATTTCTTAGCATGGTGGACTTCCTCAGACGCTTTGGTCAGAGACATGATGATGGCACGCCATACTTTTCCAATGTACGCTCCGGATTGATAGTCGGTTTGCTGTCTATCGGTACGTTGTTCGGCGCATTGATTGCAGCGCCGATTGCGGACTGGATTGGAAGGAAGATGAGTATCATCTGGTGGTGTGGCATCTTTTCCGTTGGCATCATTGTGCAGATCGCAGCAACAGATGAGTGGTACCAGGTTATGATGGGCCGATTTGTTGCCGGTCTTGGTGTTGGTGCGCTGAGTTTACTCGTGCCTATGTACCAGGTAAGAAAAATGCCCCGACGATGCGTAGCCACTGCTGACAACATCTAGGCGGAGACAGCACCTCGACACATTCGCGGTGCGCTGATTTCTACTTACCAACTATTCATCACATTCGGTATCTTCCTGGCCGCGGTGTTCAACTACGCTGCCGAACGCCATCAGTCCGGTAAGGCGGCCTCGTGGCAAATTACCCTCGGTCTGTCCTTCGTACCCGCCGCTATCCTTGCCGTTGGTATATTAGCCTTTTCAGAGACACCTCGATTCAATTATCGAAATGGTAAGATCGATGAGGCTACTGCGACCATGTCGCGGGTATACGGCGTGCCAACCAATCATCATAGCATCCAGCTAGAGCTCGAGGAGATGAGGCTCAAGCTTGAAGCCGAAAGCAAGATTACCAACGGGCCGATCCAGGAATGGCTGGGTATGTGGATGGCGCCGAAGATGGCGTACAGGTTGGCAATTGGCATGGGACTGCAAATGTTTCAACAGTTGACAGGCGCAAACTACTTGTAAGACATTGTTCCAGGCTTGTTGAGCAGACGCTGACCTTGCAAAGCTTCTACTACGGCACTGTCGTCTTCGCTGGCACCGGTATCAAGAACTCGTTCGTTACACAGATGATCTTGGTAAGCAAGCTCCCCCTGCGAAGGCGATCCATGACTGTGTTAACATCTCACAGAACGGCATCAACTTTGGCGTAACCTTTTATGGCCTCTACATCGTCGAACACTACGGTCGACGCAAATCGCTCATCGCCGGCTCAGTCTGGATGTTCATCTGCTTCCTCATCTTCGCCTCTGTCGGCCACTTCGCGCTCGATCGCGATAACCCTGAGAACACCGAGAGTGCCGCTACAGCTATGATTTGCTTTGCCTGTTTCTTCATTTTTGGTTTCGCAACAACATGGGGTCCAATGATGTAAGTCTTCTTCCTGCTTCCCGATCCGTTTCACCCTACTAACACCACCACCCAGTTGGGCAATCTGCGGAGAACTATATCCCAGCCGCTACCGCGCAAAGGCAATGGCTCTATCGACGGCATCGAACTGGCTCTGGAACTTCCTCCTCGCCTTCTTCACACCTTTCATCACCGGCGCCATCGACTTCCGCTACGGCTACGTGTTCGCCGGAACTAACATCCTCGGCGGCCTCATTGTGTACTTCTTCGTCATCGAAGGCCAGGGTCGCACGCTCGAGGAAATCGACACCATGTACCTGATGGGCGTGAAGCCGTGGGAGAGTGCAAAATGGGTCGTTCCTAGCCTGGACGAAATGAGTGGGGACGTGAGACAGAAGCTTGAGGCGGCGAACCCGGAGCTGGCGCTTCAGAAAGAGACTAATGGGGGTGTGCATGCGGAGGATGGTGGAGCGAGGGGTGAGGAGGATGAGGCGATTCGTAGGAGTGTTATGAGGGATGGGAGTGATGAGGGATTGAGGGAGAAGTCTGAGACTGATGTTTAATCGAATCGCTGGGCATGAGGTGGTTATTTGGATTACCTGGGTGAAGCAGGTTAATTCTATACTGGCTGACATACGTAATAAAGCTCTAATATTCAAATCTCCGTCTTTTGTTCTCTGAGTCTTGGGGGTCGAGCTTGCTTTCTCTGGCTCGGTTGTTGATCTCAAAGTGCCAACTGATAACTGGAGCTTTGCGGCAAGTATTAACTTAACGATTGCGGTATCATCTTCGAGGTATCAACACGAATCTGTCATGAATTCAGACAACCCTCGTTGTCTTTTGATTCGCGCTGACAGAGGAAGGCAGCATCGGACTGAGCCACGATGTTTCGATCTGCACCGGCGCAGATAGCCTTGCATGACGGATGTCAAGGCAAAGCACGAAACACAGTCAAGGGGTCCAGCAAAATGGTATTTCGATGTTGGCACTGAAGCTTGCGATATACAAAGGGGTGAATTGCGGGCCTTTGAAGATGGTATTACCCCGCGCACAACGTTTCATGGCTGGTAGCAATGGTCCAACCAATAGGAGTCCGGTAACAAAACCGCCTGTGATCGCACTTTCAGTCTTTAGCACGGACGAGCGGTCATGGTCTGTCTACAGGGGGTTGTGTCAAAGTTTGTGGCATGCTCGTAGCATTAACACCTAACCCTAACCGGCTCTGCATCGGAGCTGCCGCGATGCTGTGTACGCGGAGAGATGTTCGATTCGCTGCCCTGCACCGCGGCGTCCCACTGCTTACTTCCCACGTTCACGCCCGCCACATCATTACCACCCACTTCACCGGTCGCGGTACCGCGCACTTCTCAGCCGATCTATGCACTACAACGTGCACGAACCAATAGCTTGACGAGGCGTTTCTCGCTCAGGAAGGTCGCTTGCTAGGCAGCAGATTCGAACCACAGTGTTCAACCCGCCTGCGATGGCCAATGACGCATATGTGCAAGGCTGAAAGCCGGAATGTGCATAAGCCAGGCCGTGAATAGCGACTTGGCTGAGCCGCAGCCCAGGTACTAGTGCGTTGATATGTACGCTAGACCTAAGCTATGCGACCTGCGACTCACATCGACCTATACAAATGCAAACGCACCACACACTCCAGCATGCCAACAAACCAGCTGATGCTGTCCGCACTTTCCGTCCTGATGCCTCTACCAATTTCTCCTCGTTTCAATAATATTTTTTTTTTGCGAAATTCAAGACATTTGCTTGCGCCTCCGCTTGCGATTTGAACCTGCGTCTAACTCGGTGAGTGCCTTTTACTAGTGTTCTCAGAAACCATATAACCCAGCGACAGTCCCGACTCATTCACGATGACATCCGAACCAACACTTCATTTTTGCGCTGTCAAGCTCATTCTCTTCAACACAAGCTTGTCACCTCCGTCTAAGATACGACGCAACACTCGTAGATCGTGTTACCTTTGTCGGCATTGCTCATGAAGCCTATGCAACGCTTCTACCAGTTCGCACGTTCTCTCAGCTCTGTTACAGCCGACAACCATTCTGAAACTTTCTTCCAAGTCCCTACTGCGCTGCGATCTACAGAAACGTAAATTCTATCCACCTTCAACGTATATCAACACCGATCAAGCTCGAGATGAACCCACCACTAGCTCCTACCGGTCGACGCAAATACAACGTCGAGTTGCGGCTTTATGGTACTTTCAACAGTGATGATGACCCTGATGTGGTGTCGCTCGCAGACGTGCCGCTTAGTGCTATTCAACTGTGGATCGCCGAATTTGGTAGCCCAACCGATCGCGTACTATGAGGCTTATGCTGATTGAGCGATAGGGTCTTCTTCCATCGGACCGCGACCTCCGTCGAGCAGTTTCAACGTCCAGTCTTCTCCAGCAGCGAACTTGTCATCAACCGCCGAGCGGTCTATGATCTACAACCGTGGCCATTCAAGTACGACCTTGCTATTCAACAACAGGATAAAGGTGGAGCAGGGCCTGCACAATAGACATTGCAAGCCATGCTTTGAGTCGGGATTCCGAGCGTCGTCGAAGAAGCCGATACGCACACACCCCAAGAAATACCATGCGAAGGAGTTCAAAGTCGCGCCTATGACGCAGGGTTCTCCTGACCGCTATCGTTGCTGTGAAACCGAATTCGACATGGACTCTTGGGCGGATCATATTGTGGACCATCACTGTCACTTTGCCAGCATAGCTGCCTCGTCGCGGCTTGACCCTTCTCAATCGTCGTCCAGTCTCCAGTATGGGTCAACTCCTGCATCGAGCTCAAACTCTGACGACACAGGTAGCCCGTACCAGGTCACTCTCGGCTCTAGCACGATCGGGCAGAGCGGTTTCTCAACTACAGGAGCTCAACGTCAAGTATCAGTCTCTTATGACGAGCTTTCGCAATCTCTCGGTACGCCAAGGTCTTTGGGGGAAGTTTCGACGCGCACGAGCCAGTCCCAGCCTCCTCTTGTATCACCATCTGTTCTCCAGACCTTGACTCCAATTACATCGTCCGACGTCGTACACGACAGGCAGCTTCCTTTTGCTGAAGATGCATCCGGCAATGTTCTCTTCGATCATCATGATAACAGAATAGTTCGCACGTATGATTGGCAGCAGGTATTCGCATTAGATGGGGCAGGTAATCTTGTACGCGACGAGTGTGGCGTTCCGATTCACGTCTCTCCCGGGCAGCTGTTGTATGCATACTCAGTATCTGGCGATCGGCTCACCTATCGTTATGGCATTGATGTACTCTAGTACAGCCAAGTAACTGGAAGCTTCATCAATATTATCGTTTGTCGAAAAATTGGCTGCGGGTATTGTAGACAGAATAGCTAGAAGAGAGTGTATGTTGTTGTTGCTTTTTTGTAGCATCCTAGCTGAGCTTATATAAAGGTCATCGCACGGCGTTATTAGTAACAAAGTTTCCGACAGCGCTTGGCTTGCGGCATCTTTCAACGTGCACACAGAAGCTGTTGGCCTTTATTAGTTGCATATGGCATGCTTGTTGGAGAAAGCTACCCTTGAGGCGACAGTCCAGCAGCAATTTGCTTCCCTCTGGCCTCGTCTAGAAGGTGCGCTACATCCTTGTCGGCCATGTCGAACTCTCTTTCAATGAGGCTTCTGCGCTCCTTTGACCTCGGCTCAAAGACTGCAACGAAAGGTTTTGGGCCGGACACAAACCCAGTTGTAAACATCTCTTCTGACACGTTGATCCTTACGCCATCTTTAGAGCGTATGTTGAACGCCCAAAGCAGTCTTGCTATCGCTATCGCTAGAGAGTTTCGTGCAATGAATCGTCCAGGGCAAACTCTTCGGCCGTATCCGAAGTTGCTGGGCTGGGACTTTTCGATCCATCGTTCAGGCCGGAACACTTCTGGTGAGTCAAAAGTGCTAGAGTTCTGGCGCATCGCGGCGAACACAGGAACCACGACCGAGCCCTTGGGTATCAAATAACCTTTGTAAAAGTCGTCCTGAGTCGTAGCGTGCGGAATCCCAGCTGGCACGATGTGCCGCCATCTGAAGTTTTCCTCTACCACAGCCTGAAGATAGGGTAGGTTGCTTAGATCTTCGAATCCAGGAAGACGATTAGTACCGACGACTTCGTCAAGCTCTTTCTGAGCGGCGGCAATCCAATCCGGGTAGGCTACGCACGCCAAAATGAAAATTTGCAATTGAATTTGCGTGGTTTCGACGCCCGCATCACACAGAACACCAAGATCCCATGCTACCTCTGTCGCAGCGAGATCTTTCGCCTCCTTTGACTTGTTGAATTCTTTGGCCCAGTTCCATCCCTTGCGCTTAAGGGCAGAGTTGCTAACAATCAATCCAAACTGATGAGACTGACTGACTGACTGATTGCTTGGCAGTCAGTTCAGTGTCAGTTTAGAGCTCTCGTCTTATCAGTCAGTTCAGTTTAGAGCTCTTAAACTG